CTGGGGGTATGGGGAGTGGTGTGGATTCCAGGAAGGACCTACAGGACACAGCTAGGAACGCAAGTGTGTTGACACTGTTTCTTTTGGCAGATGGTGGAGAAATGTGGACAGTTGAACAAAACCAAGATTGCTGAAGGAGGTCGGAAACTCAGGTACACAGTTAAAGCTTCCCTAGCAGGAGTGGGGGATTGAGGAGGTATACCTTCCTCGTTGTCCATATAGGAAGAATATGGGGCATTTGTGCTACTTCTCCAGCTCTGACTGAGGAGCATTTCATAGCTGAAGCAGGGGTGGGATTCAACCGGTTCTCACCTATTCGCTAGAACCGGTTGTTAACATTCTAAGCAGTTCAGAGAACCGGTTGTTAGAATAAATTACTGCTCTAATCCTGTAAGGAAGGCAGGAGGGAAACATTCTGGTGTTGCTTACAGAAACTGCCTGTCCGTTAACCCTTATTACATTCTTGGCAGGACTAGACTTCCTGTCTCAGGAACTTCTCTGGAGTTTTTTCCCCCTCCTTTGCTGGTACTTTGCTTGTGTGGAGTAACCATTCAAAATTACAATGGCACTGAAAAAAGTGACTTATGACCATTTTTCACACTTACGACTGTTGCAGCATCCCCACAGTCATGAGAGGCCAGGCGAGGAGATGCATGCCTCGATGTGAGTGATGTTGAGTTGGCCACACCCAGCCAGTCACATGGCCACCAAGCCACGCCCACCAACTAAGCCATGCCCACAGAACTAGTTGTTAAAAAATTTGAATCCCACCCCTGAGCTGAAGGGATTTTGACAAGCACTGTCCTGGCCTGAATAGACAAAGAGGCTGGAAAGGGGCCTTAGTGAATAATGGACCTTCTCAGTCATTGACATAAATCCGGAGGAGGGGAGGGGGGGCAAAATAAGGCAGAGCTGAACCTTTTGTAAGAGAGAGGAGGGGAAGCAAATCCAGGGAAATGGGATTATGTCAAAGAAGAGACATGGCCCACTTATTCTTGTCAAATGATGTCCGTGTGTACAAACATGAACCAAACTTGGACACAGGTCCATCATTCAACTCTGCCAATGAAAGCAAGTTCAGAATAAGTTTGAGCTCAGGGTATTCTCCTCTCAAAAGAAGACCTTGAAGGAGGAGAGTCAACAGGATGTCTACTACAACAAGAATAAGACAACCTTTATAGTCATTTTGAATGCGTAGCAGAAAGAGGAAACTTAAGTGTTCACAAGGTTGATAGTACTATATGGAACAAAACTCTGACTGAATCTAGATGTTCTGCTTCGGATACCATGAAGCCTTCTCCCAGAAGGTAACAAGGAAAATAGGTCATGGAGAGGATGGGTAGCGTCCAGGGGTGGGATCTGACAGGGTTAACTACCGGTTTGGTGATTTACGATGTGCTTCCCTGCACGCTGCGTGCGTGTGTAAATCAGCTTTGCTGCCTGGACAGCTGAGCAGCGCTGCGTGCAGGGAAGCAGCATTTGAAAAAGCACTTTTTTCCTGCTTTTTCAACCGCAGCTGTGCCTTGCACGGCAGCTGAGGTTGCAAAAGCAGGAAATAAAGGTCAGGTAAGAGCCCGGGCGGGCGGGTGGGCCAAACAGCAGCAGACACAGAACCGGTTCTATGTCTGCTGCTCTTCAGAGCTATCGGTTCTACAGAGCCGGACAGAACCGGTAGAATACCACCCCGGTAGCGTCCCTCTGACAATACTGCAGACCCCAGTTCTAATTCCAGTTCATAGTACCCTGTCTCCACCAGTCTATTATTTCATTAGCGATTGTTCAGCAAGAAAGGGGCAGAGTGGCATTTCTCATTTATGATATGAAAATTCAGGAAATGTTCTTTTTGAGGCCAGAAACCATCAGCAAGATTGCTCTTCCTTGGTGTATCCTCCAATACTTGGTCACTGACACATTGAGACATGGTCATTTATGAAACTACGGAGGTTATTCCAAGCACAAACAGATCACATGCCTGTATGTGGGAGCATTGATCTTGATACTTCAAGCAGCTTTTGACACTTTTAAACTTGGAAGTCCTGGGGATGTTTTGTTTATGGCTTTGGTGGGCTGGGCTCCAGTTTCTCTTCTTTTCCTCTACCTCCAGAAAATGCTGGGCATCATCGTGGCTGGTATTAGCCGGGAATAGCCTCATGTTCTACAAGGACCCCAAGGTGACAGCTGCATGGGTGAGTGCAGCAGCAGACAGATGCTTAAATGAAAAATCAGGAAAGGCAGCCTAAGGCCTTCTTTGGTTGGCTGTTTAACTTTGTACAATCCTCGCAACTAATTTTAAAAATTTTCTGTTAGTTCTGGAAAGTCATACATAGCCCCTTTGAGAAATTGTTGGCTGGGGGAAAGAGGGAGAGACTTTTGAATAAAAGGGATGATTTTGCCTATTTGGAGATCTGGTACGGCTTTAGATATACCCACTGCCAGTATTGTTCAAAGATGGCATTTGTCCACGTGCATTTAGTATGTATATGTTTTTCTCTCTCTTCTTCTCTCTCCATCTGTCATCCATCTATCTATTTATCTATCTTCTATCTATCTATCTATCTATCTATCTATCTATCTATCTATCTATCT